GTAGTGTATCAGCCTGGAATCGAACCTGAACCACGTGCTTAGTTGACGAGCACACTACTACCAACGCACGGCTTATGTGAACTATGCAAACTCCCAGAAGAGTTGCTGAGTAGTCACTCTATCAACTGAAAATCTAGTTTCCTATGGAAAGGTTTGCAAGTCAACAACACATTGGCTGGTGGCCACGCTAAGAGTATTGCGAATTGGCAGAAATTAGAACTTCTGAATCGGCAATTGGGTTCGCTTCGCCCACTGGACTAATAATCAACGGTCTGGTCTGCTAACTCTAGTATTGTTGAAGGGTCCTAAAACAGGAGGAAACACATGAGCTGGGTAGTTTAACTGAGAAGCTGTTGTTGTCTTCCTGGACAATGTCTTCAGCATAGACTTCAATAATGAAATGAGCTTATTTGAATTTTCCATGGATGATTCAATTGTATCTCTTGACAACCTTCGTTATCGTGATTGGTTGTTAGTTTGCATCAGTATTGGGTAAAGTTCAACAATAGTGTCCCAAGGGATGCGAATGCACGAGTGACCTTCAGCCGACCAGTCATTAAAAATAAGTGACTTTTGCACAAAACATGACGTATATTTAAAAGAAAATGCATGAAAACACATTACTAAACAGGTTATCTTTCTCTGACATGACTTAAAAATACGTCCAAGTTATAATTGGGAGTTTCAGTTGCTAAATTAGACTAGTTTCTGTACATGTATTCACCGAGGGGACTGAAGATGAGCTGTTTTTTGTGAATCGTTCATCTCTCTTATCCTGTTGTGCAGTCCTCCCCCAAAGCCCTCGGTTGAATTACTATGGTTTCCAGTAAGAGGATCGATGACTACTTACCAGGGAAATGTGGATAAATAAACAAATTAAAATAAATGACATCAACTCGAAATCTATCCCTAGTCGTAACCCTAACCTTAATCCTGACCTTAATCATAACCCTAACGAGCTATTAACACATTGTCCAAACAGTACTTAAAGACGTGATCTGAGTGAAATTTGCTGCTTAGTTGGTGAATAGCGTTGATATTTCAGCTATGATAATGACAGATGCCGTCAGCCAACGACTAGCATGCGTTCAAGGTCATTGGAGCGTTCACACTCCTGGGAGGCTATTGTTGAACTTCGCCCAGTATTGATCCCTTTTTATTGATTTCATATTAAAGCTTACTCTGAAGATATTTTAAAAAAATTATATTTGTAAAATCTCAGCGAGATTGAAATGAGCAATTCCAACGTTTCCTGAGTTCGGCAATCTGGTCCGAACTTCTTCAGGGAAATTAATCAAAATTAACATAACAGAGGTTTATATATAAAAGGAACATCACTTGTTTTTAAAAACTTTGTCCATTCATGAGTCATTCAACAAGTATAATAAACAAAATTTTTATGAGCTGTGATCAAAATTTGACCTCGGACTTACAAATATTGGTCTACCTTTGTTAAACACTTTAAACAGAGTGTGTATGTGTGTGTGGGGGGGTAAACAGTTGTAAAACATTTCTTAACGTCTCCATAAGAAGATATGGACAGTCGAGAATTTTGACCAAGTATTAATAATTAGTGATACATATCCATTTTAATTTATTAATAAGGATTTCCTATGCATCAGCTAACATCACACCTTCATGTCTGTTCAAACTGTTAGTATCTAGAATTTTATGATGAGACGTATTTTCAAAATTATGGTGTTTAGGATTGGAGTTGAGTGGAAGCACCCTTGCGGACTTATTGCTTTGTCTTCTTTCTGAAGATTGAGCTGCTTTATTTAACCTACTGGAGTTGCTAGGTGACTCGACAGCTACGGATTTAGGATATGCATTATACTGCTGCAGACAACGGAGAGTGAAAACACGATGATTGTACCAATTACATATAGTTTCTTTGTTAATTTAATTCGATTGCAAAATAATTCAAATGAACTGTCGTCGTCAAGATTTGACAGAATAGTTCTAAAATATTTGGAATTACTCATTTCAATCTCGCTGAGATTTTACAAATATAATTTTTTACAATTGTCTACCTGTCACTCGGCGCCCTGTTATATTTTAGAACTATTCTGTCCAATCTTGACGACGACAGTTCATTTGAATTACTCTGAAGATGTTGTTTACAAGGACAGCGAAAGCTTCACGATTAAATCAGTCAGCTCACAGAACACAAACAAATCGAAATCAGTAGCTTTCCTCCAACCTAATTTATATAGTTTTCATATTACCCATCCCCCATGTTTATTATGGCATTCTAATTCCTAATTGTAATTTTTATTAAAACAATTATTCATCACACTAGTTTCTTATCCAAACATCCTGTATATTTTGTTATTTTTTACATTTCTAACCCCAATTGCACAATGTCAATTTTCTTAGTTTTAGTTTTACCCATCCCCCTGTTTATTATGGCATTCTAATTCCTAATTGTAATTTTTATTCAACCCCTAACCAGAAATTGTTCTGGAACTTTCCCATCCATTTGATATAAATACACGAATGTACAGCCTAGATGATGACTTCGTCGAAAAGAAAATTTTCTTCGCTGCAACTGTCTTTTTATATAGTTTTAATGTCTAGGGTTAAACAAGTCTAACGGTTAGATTGCAGCTAGGAGTCAGAGATAAGATGAAGTTTAGGATGAAGGCTGAGTTATAGTTAAGGATTAAATTAGGGTAGACAGTTAAGATTTAATTCCATATTAGTTTGTTTATTAGATGTATCACACACACAGTGAAACAGTATTATTTACTGGATGACGTAGTTTCGAACAAAATTTATTGTTCATAATCATGTCATCAATTATAATCACACGACTTCGAAACTTCAGTTTTATAGTTTTCTTTATTCTCTCCTATTTGTCGTCGTAGGGGTAGTAGAATTTTCCAGATATTCGGGTGGACAGGTGTTGAATCATTCCTATTGCAGACATGTTTTTGCAGTTGATTCGATAAACAAAGCTTCCGTTATCAATCTCTGCCTCCACCCTGCTATTACACTAGACTTTAAAACTGTCATCTTATCCCATCCCATCCTATTGTATGGTTGTGTGTAATTGTATGTGGGGAGTGCTATAGCCGAACTATTCTCTAGATTTCTTATCTTATTTGGGTCAACCAACCTAGATTTTGCTAGGTTTTTATGTTCGGCTAGTCTGATAATGATAACAATAATAATATTAATGACGACACCAACAATAAGGAATCTAAATCATCAGTAGTAATTCCATACAAGGAAGGAACCTCGGAAATCACCTTACGCAGAATTCTTAACAAGGCAGGAATAAAAGTGTCTGGTATTCAAGTCACCCACAAACTCAGTTAGAAACAAGTTTATCTAATACCCTGCTTGCAATGATTGTCAGGTCAAATACATAGGTCAAACTAGTAGAACAGGGGCAGTCAGTGAGACTAGCCGAGCATAAAAACCTAGCAAAATCTAGATTGGTTGACCCGAATAAGATAAGAAATCTGGAGAATAGTTCAGCTATAGCACTACATGCAGTTACACACAACCATACAATAGGATGGGATAGGATAGGATGACAGTTTTAAAATCTAATGTAACAGCAGGGTGGAGGGAGAGATTGATAACAGAAGCTTTGTTTATCGAATCAACTGCAAAAACATGTCTGCAATAGGAATGATTCAACACCTGTCCACCCAGAAATCTGGAAAATTCTACTACCCCTACGACAACAAATAGGAGAGGACAAAGAAAACCATAAAACTCAAGTTTCGAAGTCGTGTGATTATAATTGATGGCATGATTATGAACCACGATAAATTTTGTTCGAAACTGTCATCCAGGAAAAATACTGTTTCACTGTGTGTGTGATACATCTAATAAACAAACAAATATGGAATTTGAACAAAGAAAGAAGAAAGGGAATCATTGTATGTAATATGGAATTACTTACTACCACAGTGCCCAAGTTTTATACATATAGTTAAGATTTAAGATTACAGATTAGGGTGACTCAGAGTAGTTCCATTAAATTTTCTTTTATTTCTTTGCTCTGAGGTTTCAGTAGCGATGGCATTTATTTCTATTTAAGGCGGGGTGGAGATTGCAAGCCTCACATCCAACCTCCCCTCTTTGGAGACTTATTATGTTATTATTGTTTCCTTTAGTTCCTAGAGGAACATAGGGCTTCAGCCGCACGTCTCCATTGCGTTCGGTTCTCTGACAACGTTTTCACCTGGCCCCACATCTGCTCACATGCTTTCATCATCTCCACTTCACATGACCTCCTCCATGTCACCCTCAGACTGACGACGAACTCGCCGCTTCCCTTTCGGATTCCACTCGAGCAATGGCCTGTCTTGTGATTTCACTTGATGGTTTTCTCAGAGTATGGCCAATCCACCTCCATTTCTTCCTGCAGACTTACCACAGGCTAAACCAGGTTTAGGAATGCGTCGGCCAGGGATTGAGCCCCGGCAAGCATTCTACTATCAAAACAATGACGCTATCCCACCACTAAATAGTCTAACCATTTAAACATCCAATTTATCGATCAATTCAAAGGTGTTTACAGTCTTTCATTCAGATTACAGGTTTGATTACGAGCTGACAGCAATTAGAGAACAATTGGAAAACCAGGGAGTACTCGATAGCTAGCTGTCCCATCCTACTTTGGGAATTTTCTGTGGTACGCTCCCATCGAAGTCCGAACCCAGGACAGAAGTTGCTACTTACGCGTCATCGGATCGGGTCCTAGTGGCTAAGTGGTCTACGAGCTTGCCCCGTATCCCGTGTATGCGTAGTGCTGAAGAGTCCCAAACTAGGACGAAACATCTTTTCGGTATTCGCTGCTGGAATTCCATTGGTTCTCTACCTAAGGTTAGCTCACGATAAAACCTGTAACCAATGAAATTCTTGTAATCTGACACTTGGGAATTTTATTCGGATTGTTTGTTATTCACTGGTTTCAATTCATAAATATCAGCATTTCTAATTTATTGATTATCCTGTAATCTATGTTGTGTGTACATTTTAGTAAAAGAAGTGAATTACAATCAAATCAAACCAGTGCTGAAAATGATCGACACATTTACGCAATACCAGAAACTCTGTATAAACCAGATCGATCATCTAACTACAGTATGCCGAGTACATTCATTATCATCATCATCACGAAAACGGCTTATTGAACGCAGTCGTCGTCAGTTGTATAAACCGCCTATCGCACGAACTAAAAGTTTACAACAAATAAACAACAACGATGCAATGCGTAGATCTCCGTATTCAATGATATCAGCAAAAGAATTTAAAAATGGACGTTGGAATTCAGTCCCACTGACGACTCTCGCCACCACCACTAGTATATCGAAATCCAGCTCTATACTAGATGGAAGTATAAGTACGCATAGAAGTGATCGTCGATCATGGTTACAACTGGACTATGGGAAAAAATATGTACATGAAACAGCTGTTTAGCCAACAACAACCAATTTACAAGTGTCTACAATATTTTCAATATCTATTGAACACATTGAATGAATGAGGGATATTTGAATATGCATTGTTCTTGTATAAGCTAGCTAACTAATTTATACATGTACAAAACAATTAAGATTATCTATCACATGGAAGAAACAATTGACAAAAACCAAAAAAACATTATTTTTTTTTGATGTTGTGATAACGAAGACTGATTATCTTGCGATTTGATCTTCCTTTCCAGATTTATATATTTTCTCGGAACGTTTATTCGACATTCACCTTGTCAGTTGTCGCTGTGATCTATTTTAGATTATTATTATTATTATACATTATAGATATCCAAACCAAGTTCACTTTTAACAGTTTGAAAAAATTTAAGCATTGGGTATATGATATTCAAAAGAATGGACACGGAACAAAGAGTACTCTTTTCGATAAATTCATCATCAAGTTCTACAATTATATATACATTATAATGAATGAATGAATTAGTGTTATGAACGACATTAATGCTGTTTAAATAACATCGAATCAATAATATTGATAGATTACAGCTCAATAGCATCAACATAAAATAAGCTGAATGTCAGAAGAATTAGGAAAGATAATAGTACAAATTCATGAGTTTATAGTCTCTACTGAAGGCCGGTCAGGGCAGTAGAAGGGGCTTTTTGAACACAGAGCACTGGTTGTTTGAGGCGAATTGCAATAGCCTCTGCTGTTTGGAGCATGCGGTGCTTCGATGATTTTGGCAATTTATTAGGCACCGGGTAGATGATAGAGAAGGATTCTTCCACGCTGGCTGGCTTTGTGGCCGGTTTGCACCAGATGGTCCAATTTCGAACTGTTGATGGTTTTAACTACACCCTTACTTAGCCATACTGGGAGATGTTCCCGAGAGAGCACGAAAAATCAAGTTCCTAGAGCAACGGCCAATATAACTCGCTCCACAAGCGCAGGTGAATTGATAGATACAATTTGAAGTGGCCAGCTAGTCTAGGTACTTCATCTTTCAGTCGAGGTAGCACCATCGGTCGTGTAGAGAATAATACGTGTAGTTCGCCAGCATTAAAAGTTCTTTGAACTGATTTTCTTAATTTCTTCGTAATTATCTCGCTTGGTATATCGCCCATGAATTGTAGTCGTATATAAAGAGGCTTCTTGTTTACAGACAGTGAGTAGTCCTTTTCCGCTTTCTTTGTCATGTGTTTCTTGATAAATTTGTCAGGATAACCATTTTCGATCAAAGTATCATATACAATGCTTAATTCATCTTCAATTACTTCTTCTGAGCATATAGCTCTAACTCTGTGGCCGAGTGAGGGTCTTCACTAAATTTCCTTTGTAATTGATAGGAACGAAGCTGTGAAAATGTGTGTATATTGTCCTGTCCAAGTGCTTTTTCTATGCAAATTTCTTTTTATGCCACCGTCTGGTCTGATATTCGTTATAATAAAGGTTTTTGTATTTCCCAATGAATGAAAAACAAAACGATGTTGTTATTTGTACTGACGTTTCGCTATTTAATGCTGCTGCTAATAGCTTTATCAAAGTAGTAATATTAAACCGGACTGCCTAGTTAACAGGAGGGATAACGGAAATTTTAGTATATCTATTTTCAGGAAGAAAACCCACTCCAACAAATATTTAGACTTCGGATCATCACACCCCATCAGCGCAAAGGTATCAGTTGTTTCAAGTCTTCTTAGTTGAGCACACTCTTTGATGTTAACGGATGAGAAGGAAAAAAGAAGAAGAAATATCAAACATTACTGAGACCCTTCAAGAAAAATAACTACCCAAAGAACTTCATCAACAAAATCAACACTGACATTAAGTATGGTCGAAAACGTATTCCGAAAACATGGACCTCAACAGTTGTCATTCCATATAGATCAGAGACGTCAGACGATATCAGAAGAGTACTCAATAAGCTCGACATCAGAGTTTTCTTCAAAACATCAGACACACACACTGCGAAGCAACCTTGTCCATATAAAAGACTAAACCCCTAAAGATTCTCTATCTAATTGTGTCTATAAAATAAAATGCTTGCTTGGAATTCGATGCGATATACTTTGGACAAACATCTCGAGAAATCAAAATCAGAAGAAATGAGCATCGAGAAATCCATTTGAAAAATCATCAGCCATAGGTTGTCTACACGCTATAGAATCAGGTCACAAAATTGATTTTGACAACATTTCAGAAATCACAAAGAACGTCTGATATCATCAGACGCACTTCATATCATCAAATGGAATCCAAATTGTCTGAATAGGAATGATGGACTAAAACAGAATTTGACCTGGTTACAACACCCCCTCCCCTATGAAATGACAAAATCAACACGAATGTGATAAGCAATTTCATTATGTAAACACACACTGCGTTTATAATTTAACACACTTATCAAATCCAACAATCTACACTTGAGTTTGTTATCTTCACCAATTGGCCGATTTGACAACAACGCGAAAATGACCCTATCCTGAGGAACGATGATTAAATTTGTTCTATATATAAGCTGAGATTTTGTAAATTCTGGTTCAATAATACTACTTTGATGAAGCTATTAGCAGCAGCATTAAATAGCGAAACGTCAGTAGAAACAACAATATCGTTTTTTTCATTCATTCATTGGGAAATACAAATAGAACCTTTATTATAATTATTTTACATTATCTATTCAGAAATAGAATATCAAGCAAGGTTGACAGAGATTTTATTAAAGAGTTATATCAATAGAATTATTGTAACTAACGTCAAGTAGAGTAGGACTGGATTATGCGTCAGACAGTGGGAAACGAAAAAGACAGGGATATACTGGACCGACGTGAAGAATCGACGAGATCTGGATTTCGCGCGTGGATGATTTATGTTTGATGTCACACAAAATCGAAGACTTACAAGCGAAAACAAGCGACAAACTGGTCGAAGAAGCAGCAAACACAGGACTCCAGGTGAACATAGACAAGACGGAGGTTATGAAAATAGCCAACCACCACCACCACCAACAGCAACATCCAGTGCCAATCACCATCAGCGGGAGGGATTTGAAAGAGGTTACTTCATTCACTTATCTAGGTAGGGAGCATTGTCTCAACTACAGGAGAAACGGACGGACGAAGACGTCAAATCGAGAATCGGGAAGGCGAGAAACACATTCATCAACCTGAAACCAATCTGGAAATCTTCGTCACTCAGCCTGCATCAACACCAAAATGATCCGGATTTTCAATACAAACGTCAAGTCAGTCAGTTCTTCTATACGGATCACAAACTTGGCCAATGTGTCACAAAGAATATTTCCAACAGCCTGTTGCAGACCTTTATCAACAGCTGTCTTCGTTCTATACTCGAGATCAGATGGCCGGAAAGAATCACCAACAAGAAACTGTGGGAACAAACAAAACAAGAACCAATCGCCCAACAAATATGCGGGAGAAAGTGGAGATGAATTGGACACTCGCTGAGGAGGCCGCTGGATGGGTGACATCGCGCGTCAGGCCATCGCTCGATTGGAACCTGAAAGGGAAGCGGCGAGTGGTTCGTCGGTGCAAGGGTGACATGGAGGAGATCGTGTGAAGAGGAGTTGAAACAGTATGGATTAACATGGATGCAGGTGAAAAGTACAGCAGAAGACAGCAACAAGTGGAGACGTGTAGTTGAAGCCCTATGTTCCACTAGGAACCCAAGGGAACAATAATAATAATATATTTTAGATTTCTCCACGAGTTTATTAGTCATCTCTTCTGTGGCCTTAAACGTGATTGGTTGTTTTTGCGTGTTTTCATACCCTCTAGCCTACTTGAATTGGTGTTGATTGTTTCCTCGACCTTCAGGTCTGAAGAAGTTGCTTAGTAGGGGCGATGAAAGCTTTGCAAATAAACCACCCTCCAGTTCAGAGAACACAACTACATCAAAAAGACTGAATTTTACCAGTCAAGTTTGTGATGATCACCATCTTGACAACTGACATCAACTATGGCGATGACGAGGCATCTAGCTTGTTGGTGTGATCACATTCCAAACTTGACTGATATCAAGGGCCAGACAGATGACACTGGTCACTTTCCCTAGTGATCAGTCAAAGTATCCATTACAGTCCTAGAAGAAGACAATCACATGAGCCCGAATAGCTTAATGGTGACCTCTCTGACTGTAGCACCAGGTGACACAGGTTCGAATCCCTAGTCGAACCTTGAATTCCTTGCTGACTAGTGAGTGCCAACAAGCGCGGAACCTAGTTCCCAGACACTAGTGATCAATCAAAGGAGGTTAGTCATACTAACCCGAATAGCTTATTGGTAACGTCTCTGACTGTACTGCTCTCTGCCTGAGGCAAGTTCACACATCCCTGAAGTGACAACATGACTTCCTTGCTGACAAGTGAGTGTCAATAGGCGCGAAACCTACCTACCTACCTCCGGGTGCAAGGCTTTCTGCCGATGGCTCCCAATCACCCCTAACATCAGTACCACATACGGAATAAAAATGATACGATTGTGAAAGCAATGTTAGACAAGAAAATATCTGTATATATTCTCCTTTCAGATAATAAAGAAAATCATAATAGAATATTTCTAAGGCAAAAATAAATAAATAAATAAAAATATGTACACAGGGAATAAATACTATTTACAAAGTTTAGTATTTGCAAGAGGAGGCGGGGTTCAATCAAATAGAGGGCAGGGAAGACGGGTGAAGCTGGGCCGGGCGGGCGGGCGAGCGGACTTTGTAATAAAGTAGTAGAAGCATATTAGCTTATTACTGAATTCAAAGTCCATTTACATAGTTTGTAAAATATAATAAAAGAATTTGTAGTGAAGTAAGAGATTGCAAAAGATAACTATACAATATAATTTTTAAAACAACTACTAAACGAGGAATTACAGTTCATCTCGTGCTCTTTATTTTGTGTATATAATTAATAAACACAAGGCAGTGAGTTTTTACTGTCCGACAGGCAGGGCAATGAATGATTGAAGAGAGGAAATCAACAATTTACTCCTTCATTTTCCATGCCTAGAAAAAAAGAAAAGAGAAAACAAGAAAACATAATAATTACTAGAACACCTACAGAGAAACAACATCAAGACTGTCGGGGTCCATCAAGTCGGTTGGTTGTGAGGACTAATACTTGCCGATGACATTGGCTGACGACTGCGCTATATGTATTATTATTATTATTATTAATTCCTTTAATTCCTAGAGGAACATAGGGCTTCAGCCGTGTGTCTTCATTGCGTTCGGTTCTCTGCTAAAGTCTTCACTTGGCTCCAAGTCTGCCCACACGCTTTCATCTCCTCTTCACATGACCTCCTCCAAGTCACCCTCACACTGACGACCAACTCACCACTTCTTATTCAGTTTCCACTCAAAGTCCTGTCTAGTGATGTCACTTGATGGTTTTCTCAGAGTATGGCTAATCCATCTCCATTTCTTCCTGGAGATTTGTTGTACAATCGGTTCCTGATTGGTTCGCTCTCCAGAGATCTCTGTTGCTGATCTTTTCTGGCCGGCCATCTGATCTTGAGTATTGAGCGAAGACAGCTGTTAATGAAGGTCTGTAGTTTGTTTGAGGTGCTCTTTGTGACGCGCCAAGTCTCTGATCCGTATAGTAGTACTGACTTCACATTGGAGTTGAAAATCCGGATCTTATTTTTCATGCTGAGTGCTGTTGACCTCCACACAGACTTGAGAGTAATGAAAGCTTGCCTTGCTTTCCCGATCCTTGCTTTGATATCCTCGTCAGTTCCGCCTGTAGTTGAAACAATGCTTCCCAAGTAGGTAAAGGAGGTAGTTTCTTTCAGGTTCCTTCCATTTATGCTGATTGCTGTCTGTTGTTGTTGCTGTGGCTGTTGGTGTTGGCCAGGAATCTTCATCACCTCTGTTTTCTCTATGTTCACCTGAAGTCCTATCTTCTCTGGATGCTTCTTCTGCCAACTTGTTGCTTTTCGCTTGCATATCTTTCAGTTTGTGGGAAATCAGACATATATCATCGGCGAAGTCCAGATCCTCCAAGTTTTTTGTATGAGTTCATTTAATGCCTGTTTCCTCATTGCCCACTGTTTGTCGCATTATCCAGTCTACTGCAATCAAGAAAATCATTGTTGATAGTAGGCAGCAGCTTGTCTTACTCCTGTCCTCACTTTGAAGGATTCCGTAAGTTTCCCATTGTGGATTACTTGGCATGCAGCATTGTCGTACAGCTGTTGGATGAGATGTATAATTGTCGGTGGCACCCCGTAGTAGCGAAGTAGTTGCCAAATCACCTCTCGATCGACGCTGTCGAAGGCCTTTTCAAAGTCGATGAAGTTGAGATAGAGAGGTGACTGCCATTCTAAACTTTGTTCAATGATCATCCTTAGTGTGGCGATTTGATCAATACATGACTTGTTTCTCCTGAATCCAGCTTGTTCCGGTCGAAGTTTTTCATCCAGGGCTTGTTTGATCCTTTCCAGGATGATGCGGCTTAGTATTTTGCTTGGGATGGACAGCAGCATAATTCCGCGCCAGTTCTTGCATTGACTTAAGTCTCCTTTCTTTGGTAGTTTGAATAAGTATCCTTTCTTCCAATCCTCGGGTACCTTGCCTTCTTTCCACACCTTCTCCAGTAGTGGCGTCATCAAGTCCGCTGTTGTCTCTGGGTCCACTTTCAATGCCTCTGCTGGGATTCCATCTGGTCCTGCTGCTTTTCCAGCTTTCAGCATCTTGATTGCCTTCAGTACTTCTGTTCTCCTCGGGGGGTTGATGTTCACTGGTAATTCTGCTTCCGTGGTTGGTATTGTTGGGCGCGTTGTAGGTGGCGGTCGGTTTAGTAGTCTTTTGAAGTGTTCAGCCCACTGTTTCCTTTGCTCCACTTCTTTGGTGATTGACTTTCCATTGTCATCCTTCACTGGCTTAATTTGTGACGAATTTTTGCCTGAGAGGTACCTAGTTGTTTGGTAGAGTGTTGCGAGGTCTCCTTTGCCTGCTGCTTGTTCTGCTTCATTGGCCATGGCTTCATAATACTTTCTTTTGTCTTCTCTGGCACTCTTCTTTACTCCTTTGTTCAGTGTCTTGTAGTTTGCATTCAACTCCTGTTTCTGTTGCTCGTCGGTGCACTGGATAATCTTTTGTTTCACCATCCTTCTCTCTTCTATTAGCCTCCAAGTGTCCGTAGTGAGCCACGGTTTGTCCTGTCTCTTCTTTCTGCCCAGAACTTCCATGCAGGTTTCGCTCCATACTGTTTTCAGGTTGTCCCAGTGTTTTTCGACGCTGACCTCTTCGCTAATGTTGATTTGTGTCTCAGCTTTGTCCTTTATGCTTGCAGTAAAGATGTCCTTTGTATCCTGGTCCTTTAGTTTTTGAGTGTTGAACTTGGCTTGTGGTCTATCTGCAGCTCCTGTTTCTCTGAAAGCTTTTAATTTGAGTTGGATTGTTCCTTGTACGAGGTAGTGGTCCGAGCCAACGTCCGCTCCTCTTCTTGCTTTTGTGTCCAGTAGGCTGCGCCGCCACTTCCTCGAGATTGTGATAAAGTCAATTTGGTTTTTGGTTCGCCCATCTGGTGACACCCATGCAACCTTGTGAATATCCTTGTGTTTGTATACGCTGCCACCAATCACTAGTTCATTGAAGGCGCAGAAGTCGGCGAAGAGTTCTCCATTTTCATTCATCTCTCCCAGAGCTTCTTTACCCATGATGAGTTCCCTTCCTGTGTTGTCTGGTCCAAGTTTGGCGTTCATGTCTCCCATTAGTATTTTAATGTCACCAGCTGGAGTATTGTCTATTGCTGCCTGTAGTTGTCTGTAGAATTCTTCTTTCTTTTCGAGGTCTGCGTTGTTTGTGGGTGCATAGCACTGTATAATTGACACTTTTCTTCCTTTGGAGTTGAATCTGGCGGTCATTATTCTGGGTGAGATCGCCTCCCATTGTATCAGAGCCTTGGTAGCCATTGGTGACATCATGATAGCCACGCCCTCGGTGTGTATGTGGTTGTCTTCTGGGTGACCGGAGTAAAGCACTGACTCACCTGTTGACAATTTGGTGAGTCCGTTTCCGTTCCATCTGCTTTCGCAGATCCCCAATACTTGTATTCCGTATCTCCTCATTTCGCTTGCGATCTGGGCAGCTTTGCCAGTCTCGTACATGGTGCGGACATTCCATGTCCCCACACAGACTTTTTCTTTTGACGCAAGGAGATTGTTCACGCTGAAGTTTCTGTAGCATCTTTGTTTACAGGGTGGGGTTGCTGGCCTAACGCCTGAGTTTAGTCTTCGGGTACCTGAAATAGAAAAAAGGTTAGTGTTGCGTGACCGCAGAGCCCAGGGGACATCTGCTTGAGGCCGGTCACACGCGGCCTGGTGTGTCTCAGTAGTATACTTATCACTTCTGCCCTGTGACACGGCAGCAGAAAGCGCGGTCGTTGTTAATCCGGGCCACGGCCGATCCGGCATGATATTTTTCGAATTCGTTTGGTTCATGGGGTTGGATTGATGACGACTACGTCCAGCCCCCACTGATACCGTCGCCAATGTATCAGTAGGTTGTGAGGTTTGACAAATTTGGTTGGCGCCCGCTGCTACTATCAACGGAGCTACGCTAGGAACGGTGTGACGACCCAAGTTATCTCCTACTGATACCGTCACCACAGTCATATCAGTAGAAGTCCGGTTAAGCTGCCGGTCAGCCTCGGTTTCCTTATCATTTTGAGCGGGCAAAGTTTGGTTTCGACCGCGTTGGTACACATTGGAGTTGAAAATTCGGAACTTTTTCTCATTTTCATGTTGAGTGCTGTTGACCTCCACACAGACTTGAGAGTAATGAAAGCTTGCCTTGCTTTCCCAATCCTCGCACTTTGATAACCTCATCAGTTCTGTCCGCCTGTAGTTGAAACGATGCTTCCCAGGTAGGTAGATAAAGGAGGTTGCTTCTTTCAGATTTATCCCATTTACGATGACTGATTGTTGTCTGTTTCCTCTATGTTCACCTGAAGTCCTGTTTTTGATGCTTCTTCTGCCAACTTATTGCTTTTCACTAGCATATCTTCCAGTGTTTGCGGGAAATCAGACATATATCATCGGCGAAGTCCAGATCTTTCAAGCTTGTTTTGTGTGGGTTCATTTTATGCCTGTTTCTTAGCTACCTGCCGGTGTCTATTGCATTATTCAGTCTACCGCAATCAGGAAAATCATTGGAGACAGTAGGCAGCCTTTCTTGTCTTACTCCCGTCTTCACTTCGAAGAATTCCGTGAGTTTCCTATTGTGGATTACTTGGCACGCAGAAAAAGTTAGGATGTACAATTTTCAGGGTTGACCCATTCTAAATCCATCCCTTCTCAGAATAAAGAGGTAGCATAGCTAGTTTTCTGTTCATCTAAGGGTAACACACACCTTACAGCTGATAAATCCGTATTCGCAAGCAGTACTACTACCGCTTCGAATCCCCCAACATAGTGTGAACAATTTACCGCTATCCAAACGACCTTTCTGGGATGGTAGGACCTCTAAGAACATCAGTTCTATTGAATGTATTTCGTCAGGTCATTGCGATATTCAAGCCCGACCACCACGTCAAGATAGCAGCTATCGGTAGGGAACAAAGGACGTACAGCAGAGAGTAATCCGAACCGATGAATTTTTAGCTTTACAAACAGTACGTGTATATACTTAAAGCATTATTATTATTATTGTTCCCTTGGGTTCCTAGTGCAACATAGGGCTTCAACTGCACGTCTCCACTTGCTTCTGTCTTCTGCTGTACTTTTCACCTGCATCCATGTTAATCCATACTGTTTCAACTCTTCTTCACACGATCTTCTCCATGTCACCCTTGCACCGACGTCCCACTCGCCGCTTCCCTTTCGGGTTCCACTCGAGCATTGGCCTGACGCGCGATGTCACCCAACGGCCTCCTCAGCGAGTGTCCAATCCATCTCCACTTTCTCCTGCATATTTTTTGAGCGATTGGTTCTTGTTTTGTTTGTTCCCATAGTTTCTTGTTGGTTCGTGTTCTTTCCGGCCATCTGATCTTCAGTATAGAACGAAGACAGCTGTTGATAAAGGTCTGCAACAGGCTGTTGGAAATATTCTTTGTGATCCGCCAAGTTTCTGATCCGTATAGAAGAACTGACTGACTTGACGTTTGTATTGAAAATCCGAATTTTGTTGTTGATGCAGGCTGAATGACGAAGATTTCCAGATTGGTTTCAGGTTGATGAATGTGTTTCTCGCCTTCCCGATTCTCGATTTGACATCCTCGTCCGTCCGTTTCTCCTGTAGTTGAGACAATGCTCCCTACCTAGATAAGTGGATGAAGTAACCTCTTTCAAATCCCTCCCGTTGATGGTGATTGGCGCTGGATGTTTCTGCCACTGTTGTTGTTGTTGGTTGGTTGGTTATTTTCATAACCTCCGTCTTGTCTATGTTCACCTGGAGTCCTGTCTTTGCTGCTTCTCAACCGACCAGTTTGTCGGTTTTCGCTTGTAAGTCTTCGATTTCGCGTGACATCAAACATAAATCATCCACGTGCGAAATCCCGGTCTTCACGTCGGTCCAGGATATCCCTCCCTGTCTTCTCGTTTCCCACTGTCTGACGACGCATAATCCAGTCCAGTCCAGTCCACCACAAATTGCTACAGAAACTTCAACGCATAAATACATTTTTTTTTAAAAATACTTAAAGCATAATCCCTCAATAACTAACCTTTATTATATCGTATTGAACTTCTTGACTCTACTGATTGTCCATATGTATCCGCATGTTTTATAATTGGTCGAGATGATGGCAATGATGATTTTGGATTACTACTACTAGCTACAATTGGTTCCAAGTCAATCAGTGCTGTCTGTGAACCATCACTTTGACAACTATGCCGACGACGATTCGACAAACTTGTTGTACTCGTCATATCCCCCTTACTTACTGTCAATGATAAATCTGCATTTGAATCATGTTCACTAATCATATCATTTGTGAATACATGAGTTGATGGATGACTAATTAACTGGACACTACTGGTTAGTGAGGATTTTTCATTCTCTGTTGGTGAGACAAGTAATTCATGCTTTTTACGATGGCTTGAATGAGATAAACGTTTCAAGCTTATCCCAGAACTGCCGACTGTACCACCACCACCAGTAGTATGACTACCTCTACCACTACTAGTATTGCCAGTTCCTCCTGTTTGTCCTCTTTTAGACAAAACTTTAATCCGTGTTGGACGTGACTGTTGTTGATGAGTGGATGTTGGTCGTTTCATTGTACTTGATGTTGTTGACATTGGACCTGGTGCCGTTGATGTTGTTGTCGTTGGTGAGACACTTGGGTCAACAACACGAGGTTGTGAATGTTCGGTAGCTTTGAATAAAAATGACGGGAAATTGATTTTAAAATTGGAATGTGTCCGTTTGTGTACTTTGACAATTGGTTCAGAGGTTAATTGACCACCACCGACACCGACACCACCACCACCACCGGCTATAGGGCTGTTAGGTGCAGGCGAATACATAGGATGGTGCAATGAACCTGTAAGATTAATCCTTGAATAGTTCCAAAACAAAACAAAAAGAAAAGACAATAACAATTTATATCAAAATAAACAGGTATCTACATAAATTTTATCTATAATTACAGAAGCATGACGGTATATACTACTAATTCGTCAATTTAAGTAGTTGGATCCGACTCAAATCAACAAGTCTAATGTGTTTGCCAGCCAGCTAGCCAGGTCAAAGGGATCCATACATTATATCATATACGGCTGTTTCACTCGTTCCAGGGGTCCAGGTTATCAGTCATGTACCCGGTTTGTTCAAGCTCAGAGTCCAAAAAGCTAATCAGAATTCGTTTGGGGTGGTTTGAACTGATATGGATTTCTGAGTCGAGTCAAATCATGCAGAACACTGATGAGCTCGGCTCCAAAATGACTGACTGATTGACTGGTTTCCATAGAGAACTTTCAACCGAAATGCAGCACTACGAGTTGCCACACAAAGGAAGAGAAGAGAGTAAAGATAGATTCAAAAGAGATAATAAACAGAATTTTGAGTCAGGGAAAAAGAATAGTAATATTAAAGAAAAATAGTTTTATTGAGTATGACAAATCACAAAGAGTGAATACATCTGCGACATTGAGGAGAACGATTTTGAGCCATATCACCAATTGCCTCCATCTGCCAATAGCTTTTACCATCCTGAGGACCTCAACCAGGAAGCCACTTTACACACACACACCCTATGTGGCTTAAACTAACTATTATGGATTTCATTATGGATAAAATTTATTTTGATAAAGTCTCACAGTGTTATACAGTAATGTTTACTGATGACGTTTCCAGCACAATTTATTGCTGCTCATAATCATAGTAAGGCACTACTCACACAACTTTCTAACTTCGTTTATATAATTCCATTATTTTGCATCGCTAGATTTGATTGGTAGTAGAATTTACCATATTTCTGGTATGAGTGATGAGTCATTCCTATTGCACAAGGATTCAGTAATCAACCTCTCTCTTTCTCTCCACCTACCAATATTACTTCTTAGAAGTTTAACCCTCTCCCACCATGCTACTTCGTGGTTGTGTGTTAATGCATGCAGTGCAATCTCTGAGCTTTTTTCTAAATTACTTATCTTCTCGGGGTCAACCATTCTTACCTTAACTAAATTCTTATGTTCCGACAATCTGACTACCCCCGACCTATTAGTTTGACCTATGTAGTTGTAGAGAGACACTGTATAACATTGTGAGACTTTATCAAAATAAATTTTACCCATAATGGAATTATACTCTACCGCCAAAGTGCACAAGTTTTAATCTTATATTATGGATTTCATTGACTGATGAAGCCGTGAAGCCGTTTGACTACCAATAGCTGGCTCTTTTCCAACCTAATCAATCCTATGTCAGTTAACATTGCCTGTTATCGAGGAGGGCGATGGCTACTCATGCGTAACACACGTCCTAACCATCTCAATCGGTGTAACTTCCCAACCTCGTCGATTGATTTTCCCTCTTCCCAACCTAACACTCGACTGAGGCCTAACCTCAGTATTTCTCACCCTATTAAACCTACCACGTAATACGGGAGACAAAACGCAAGCAACTATGATCAAAGACAGCTAACCTTTCCATCAGTTTCAAACGAGCGAAACATCCATCCGGTGGTTGGATCGTTTCGATCATACGTGTCTAATCCTTGTTGTTTGGTACAGACTGAATTCTATCACATCAGTCTAGTTTGCAATGTGGCCATCAGGCTAAGTGGATTGGAATTTTTGTTATCAAGTGGTTGGAAGCAATTTGTTAGTAAGCTTTGGATCTAGATTTCGTGCTAGTTGGCATTCAACAGTCAACAAGGCGTATCTGTAATCTTGAAGAAACTCATATCCCCTCTGATAGTATGATCCGAATCCGGATCTAGTTCATCTCCAACAAGATCAGATGAATAGTATAATAGGGAGTGTAGGTTATATTCTAAATATATAAAAATCTTTATATCAGAAATATGTATGAACAAAGCACTCCCCGATGACATCCAGCTATCAGACACGCTATATCGTGAATTGGCACAAGTTGGAATTCATGGGCTGGCCATTGGATCGCGTATCAGTGACTTAGTGGTCTAAAAGCTCGACTTGTGACCGAAAGGTCCTGAGTCTGAGCTTTAGTGGGTGAATCATACTGAAGGGCCTCGGACCAGAACGAAACGGCTATGCAGTACTCCCAGGTTTTTCAACGGTTCTCAGAACCGATGTCAGCTCATGATGAAATCCTGTAACCAATAAGAAACTTCCTGCAAACGAACACTTGAATACAACACTATATGTCAAGATATTACTCAACAACCGATTGCAACTCCAAACACTTTTCAATGAGCCACGCCTATTGCGTACAACAAGATAGTGAAACTGTGGTGACTGCTACTGATAAGATTTATCAGTAGTATATACATATAAAGAGAAATTCATCGGCATAATAACGTCAAATATCAGGGAGATAGATAGATTTGATGTCAGAGAAAGCAAATGATGCAACTTTGTGGAGATAGATGGGAGACGCGAAAGGAACACAAAAGAAGTACAATATGAAGTCCAGAAGTACCACAACATGAAGATCTGTGCAAAAGGTGAGTTGAAGATAAGGTGTAAGTAATTTTGATATTTAGAGATACCAATATACACATAAACACATTCCTTTACCAAATCTTCGTCCTCTACCGTTTCAATACCACTACGTGGTCGGCCAAGACCCATTCGGTAGGTGCAGGAGGGTTCGAACCCTATGACCTCTCCCCCTGGGCGGGAAGTCAAGCGCCTAGACACCAATGAGCCAGCTACAGCTCCAGCAGTAAATTCTAATATACCTCCCCACGTGATTAGACTTGCAAAACTTACGTTTGTAATAAACTTGACTGTAATTCACAAAGTCGTGTATATTCTGCCTCCCCAAAAGGCTGAAAGGAAAACGAAGACAAGAATATATTGAAAGATAAAATAGTAGTCACCTGAAAGGAAAGGCGATATTTAAAACAAGCAATAAAGGTTAATAAAGCAGGATTTAATGAATTCATCAAATTTCGGTAGAACTCGTCAGCTGAATACTCTACATACACAGATATATATACTTTTGAAATTACATTGGGAGATATAAGACTGATTAGCAGAAATAAACTACATTGAATTAGTCATGCAGAAAGACAGGTGCGAATGTTTTCCAGGTCATGTTCAAATAGATAAGGGAAGAGAGAGTATGAGAGATCAAAGTTAAGATAAATTGCATTACGCTTCAATTACATCACTTAGATAAACAATTAGACATTAGAGAATATAACAAAAATTGCAAATAGAGTAATATTAATAGTAATAGAAATGGGGATAGTGGGCATCCCTGACGGACGCTAACAGTTGTCACCACATCAAATGACAACTCTCAATAGACTCTCACCTGGCTGACTGCATGAGTTTGAGTAGAGTGCCTTGATCAGTGCAATGTATTTTCTCGGCATTCCTTTCACAGCCAAGCATCGCCATAGTACCTCTCGGTCGACAGAATCGAATAACGCCTTTAGATCAAGAAATATAATGATTGTTGGACGCCGCCGGTGAGTATGCCTATGTCGAAAGGTTGAAGGGAGATGTGATCAATACACCCTCTTCCAGGACTAAAGCCTGCCTGGTTCTCTCGTGTTTGTGCCTTCCGAGCATCCCCTTAGTCTACGCATTATTACTGAGCCTAGAACTTGAGATATCACCATATTAGTCAAGCTAATCCCTCTGTGATTATCACAGGAAGACTTGTCTCTCTTCTTGTATATCGGGATGATTAGTGACTTACACATGAATGGGGAACGACGAGTTGGGCGTAGTTTTGAGGGTGATATAGATGAGATGAAATCTTCTGGATCGGTTAAAAAAGATCAGAGAGAACAGAATGAAATGAAGTTGGTCTGCTGAAGCCGTATGTTCCACTTTGAACTTAAGGGAATAATAATAACGATAATAATAATAATAATAAAGCAAGGGGAAAATAACACACAACTCACATTCAAATCATGTCTTGCCCATAAATACAGCCGACAATATTCTTCAATACAATCTCGTGATGGCGGTGGATTCATAACATGATGACGTGATTTCAACAAGAAATCACGTGTATCTCTTAACGGTGGCGCTTCCAGTGTTGAATCCACAGACAGGATAGCCTGTTCTAATTTACACAATTGGAGAGTAGAAAAACAGATCAGGGGATAATGCAACTTTACTTACTTAATATTAGAAATTGATCAAGTGCTTTAGCTCGATACAAAAATGTCACCTCACCTGTAATAGTAATGATAATATGAAATATTAATTATGTGAGATGGATAGAATATTACCACTCGATGTGTAGACGTCGTAATTCTCTGCATAATGTGGACCGAATACTTGTGGTTCTGTGCGGACTTTTATAGTTGCATTAATTTTCTTTTCAATATTTGACTTCCAAACCTTTATCAAGAAAAGGCAAGAATAAGAATAACATAAGAAGATTAAAAGTATAGATAGGGTTAGATAAGAAGGAGAGAAAAGATGTCACTGATTGGTTTGAGTACATTGGGACTTACAGCCACTAAATGTCCTGGGTTCGACTCTCACTCCACCTACTGTAATCTGAGCAACTGACTATTATCATTAGCTTTAACTCACAGCTTAACTCCATTATGGATAAAAATTTTATTTTCATAAAATCACACATAGTGTTGTTATACAGTAATATTAACTGATGACCATGATTCAAGCACAAATTATTGCCACTCATAATCATATCAAGTCACCCACACAACTTTTTACTTCATATATATACATGAGTGGAATTGATGATTAGACATTTGGAAAACAGAAAGATTGAGCGAAGAAATTTTTTTACTTTTCAATTAGATCCTCATCTCTGACTCTACTCTAATATACACGTATAGCATTTTGATTACAATACACAACAGTTTACCAATCTAGTGACACTGATATGTTTGTTAACAATAATTAGTCAGTGTCAATATGTCAAGCAGTGGGGTGATAATTAACGAAGAAAATCAATACACATAATTAAAAGGTAGAAATGGTTAGAATAATTTAATTTTACAAGGATAACACGTAATTAAAGATGAAGTGGTCAAAATAAAAATAAAATAATTTGGACAATTATAATTTTTATAGGTTTAGGGGAAGGGGGCGACGTAGTCCTGTTTATGCATTCTTGTAACGATGGCCACGGTAAGGAAAGTGGCCAAGTCTACGTGTTCAGAAGAAATTTGTACAGCCACTTTCCCTACCGTGGCCATCGTTGCAAGAATGCATAAACAGGACTACGTCGCCCCCTCCCCCTAAACCTATAAAAATTATAATTGTCCAAATTATTTTATTTTTATTTATTTTGACCACTTCATCTTTAATTACGTGTTACCCTTGTAAAATTAAATTATTCTAACCATTTCTACCTTTTAATTATGTGTATTGATTTTCTTCGTTAATTATCACCCCACTGCTTGACATATTGACACTGACTAATTATTGTTAACAAACATATCAGTGTCACTAGATTGGTAAACTGTTGTGTATTGTAATCAAAATGCTATACGTGTATATTAGAGTAGAGTCAGAGATGAGGATCTAATTGAAAAGTAAAAAAATTTCTTCGCTCAATCTTTCTGTTTTCCAAATGTCTAAATGGGGATATTTTCTAGATTAGACATTTGAATAAAAATCAATATGGGATAATGTACATTCAGAAATAATAGTATGAGTGTTATTAATAAAATAAAATCAGATGGGAAATAAGACGAGTGTTTTTATAGTTAAAATAAGTAACTTGTTAGAATGTTATGATGTATGTGAATTGAAATAGAATTTTAAGATTATTTATTATCCTCCTCTGATTTGACTGACTGGTGGTTATAATATCTTCTATATCTCTGGTATTTGCATTGAGTCATTTCTGTAGCATGTGCTGTGTTGGGTGTAGACTCATCTTATTTTCCACTTTTTTTGCACTTTCTTGACCTAAAGGCGGCATTCGATTCTGTCGACCGGGAGGTTCTCTGGCGATGCTTGGCTGTAAAGGGAATGCCGAGAAAATACATTGCACTGATTAAGGCACTCTACTCGTACTCATGCAGCCAGGTGAGGGCTTATGGCGAGTTGTCATCTGAAGTAGTGACGACTAGTGGCGTCCGTCAAGGATGCCCATTATCCCCATTTCTATTCAACTTCATCATAGATGTACTAATGGATTTAACCCTAACTCACTTCAGAGACTAAGGGATTGACTTGCTACCAGGGAATAATCTCGTTGACTTAGAATATGCGGACGATATAGTCCTTCTAGGCGAGGACTCTGACAAAATGCAGAGTCTACTGAACACCTTGAGCTGCAATCTAAGAATGTTTGGCATGCGATTCGCCCCTGTAAAATGTAAGATGATGCTGCAGGATTGGACTTCACCGACCCCTAGATTAGAAATAGAAAGTGAAGTGGTAGAGCACGTTGACCGCTTCACTTACTTGGGAAGTACCACCAGCCTGCTCCAACGGGTTGATCTCAGACGAAATATCAGCACGAATACAGAGGGCTAGGTTCGCATACGCCAGTTTACGCCGTCTCTGGCGTGGACGCGATATCCGGCCGACTGTCGACCAAAGGGCGTGTGTACTGCTCAACAGTCCACTCCGTCCTCCTTTATGGCTGTGAGACCTGGCCATTGAGAGCAGAAGACATGAAAAGATTAGCTGTCTTCGATCATAGGTGTCTGCGTTCCATCTCCCGCGTGAAGTGGTATAATAAGGTGAGCAATATTGAGGTTAGGCGCCGAGTGCTAGGTAAGGCGGGGAAATCAATCGACGAAACGGTGAAATTACATCGACTGAGATGGTTAGAACATGTGTTACGTAAGCCTAGTCATCGCCTTCCTCAACGGGCAATGTTAGCTGATATAGGGCCAGGCTGGAAAAGAGCTAGCGGCGGTCAAACGAAAACATGGCACCAGTCAATGAAATCCACAACAGTTAATCTAAGTCACGTAGGGAGATGTAGACTTCCTAGTTGGGGTCCTCGGGACGGTAGAAACCAATGGTTGGAAACAATTGGTGACATGGCTCAAAATCGTTCTCAGTGGCGCAGATGCATCCACTCCTTGTGACTTGTGATTTCCAATGAAACTGTTTTGTTCTTCGTTATTACTACTCCTTTGTCTCACACCTCTGTTTACTGTCTATATTATGCATTTCCCCTACTTTCTTCTCTTCCTTTGTGTGCTACATGGAGAGTGGCGACTTGAACTGCCGCACATATGTGCAAAGTTCTATGTCGAAAACAGACAGACAGACAGACATCTTATTTCCCATGTGATTGTAATTGTTCAATAACACTCATATTATTATTAATTCTGAATGTAAATTGTCCTATATCGATTTTTATTCAAATGTCTAATCATCAATTTTTACTCATGTATATAAATTAAGTAAAAAGTTGTGTAAGTAGTGACTTTATATGAATATGAGCAATAGTTTGTGCTCGAAACGTGGTCATCAATTAATATCACTCACTGTATAACACCACTGTGTATGATTTTACCAAAATAAAATCTTATCTATAATGGAGTTATACTCTACCGTCACAGTGCCCAAGTTTTATACTTATATCAATGACTCACAGCTTAGTTCATGAAAGACCTGACCTTTGGTTAGTGAATTAAGACAACTGTAGCTTAGGTATTTCTGAGTAAAGTTTTCAACATCAGTCAAAGCGTCATCAATCAATGCTGTCGTCTTATAGGAGTTCTACAAAGCTATCAAAATGTTCAACAGTGAAAGAATGGGATCCCACAACTGAGAAACTTGTTTACAAAGTGCGTATAAATAAAGGATTCTTAGATGGTTGGAGGTAATCCGCAGGAAGCCATCGACCTAGACTTAGGTTTCACATGCTTGTCAGCAGCGCTCAACAGTCAGCAAGTTGTATTTTCAATCTTGAAGGCACTCATGTCTCTCCTGGGATTCAAACCCCGCGTCACCCAGTGCTGTAGTCACAGATGTTACTACTGAGCTAGCACAGACTAGCCCAACTAACCCTCCTGTAGGACTGTAATGGATACATCAGTCGGTCATCGGGGGAGTAACTAATGTCAGGCGTCTAGTCCTTGGTATTGGTTGGTGCAAACTGAATTCTATCACCAGTCGAGTTCGTAATGTGATCACCAAATTAGAAGGCTCGCCATCGCGGTATAGTGAATTGGTTTTAGATAGTTGGAGGCAACCGACAGGAAGCCCTGCCTGAAGTAGGATTCATACGGATAGAATTAAGTCTACACCAAGATCCAAACACTAGACGCATGGCGTTGCTTACTATCTAGTGACAAGTCAAAGTCTAGTGGATTCTATTGAGAAAGTGTAGAATGTTGTGGCGGATAAAATAACCCCATAAAACTTGACCTGTGGTCAGAGTTTTATTTTGTTTTACTAAAATACAAACTTGGTACATAATGGACACCACCAGATGAGCCACACAAAACTTCATAGTTTGTGAGATACTGCCCGGACGTCCAGACTGGAGCAGATGACTGCTTTAATCGATTAGCTCCAGAGTCTTTAACTAGAAGTCTAATCCAGTTTATCCCGTCTCTAGCGTAGACGTAATATCCGGCTGGTTATCGATTAAAGAGCGTGTGTACAGCTCAGCAGTGCAATCCATCCTCCTTTATGTCTGTGAGACCCGGTCATTGAGAGTGGAAGACATGAAAAGGCTGGCTAGCTGTCTTTGATCATAGGTGCCTGCGTTCTATCTCCTGTGTGAAGTGATATAATAGGGTGAGCAATATTGAGGTTAGGCTTCGGTCGAGTGCTAGGTGGGAGGGAGGGGAAATCAATCGACGAGGTTGTGAAGCTGCATAGACTGAGATGGTTGGGATATGTGTTACGTATGCCAAGTCATCACCTTCCTCAACCAATGGGCAATGTTAGCTGACATAGGGTCAGGCTGGAAAAGAGATACCGGCGGTCAAACCAAAACATGGCTTCGTCAGTCAATGAAATCCACAACAGTTACTTGGAGCCATCCCTCACGTAGGAAGGTGTAGACTCCTTGGTTGGGGTCATCGGGACGGTAAAAACCAATGACGGCTGGAGACAATTGGTGATATGGCTGGCTAAAAATCGTTCTCAATGGCTGGCTCAGATGCATCCACTCCTTATGACTTTAATATCCAATGAAACTATATTTTTCTTCGTCATTACTATTCCTTTTGTCCCATATCCTTGTCTGTTGTCTATATTATGCATTTCTTCTACTTTCTCTTGCTTTGTGTGCTACAAGGAGGGAGAGTGGCGACTTGAACTGCTGCACATCGGTGCAAAGTTCTGTGTCCAAAAACAGACGGCAGACGTTCGAATTTGCCCTTCCACTTTTATGACGAATGCCCCATGCCGTATGAAGGCAGTGAGCAAGACTTACTTGACAGAGGGGCTATGAGAGCTTGGCCACATGACAGCATTTCGAGAGGAAGACCGAAGTCCGCCCGGTTGTTTATGGCGGTGGTCTGTGACAAAGGTGGTTTATAATCAGATACAGAAAACAATACACATCAAACGTAAACTTATCTTTATGATTAAAAATTACCTTTGGCAAACCTTGTCCACAGACTGTATACGTGGTACGTCCTACACGACCTTTACGTCGAGCTATTCGCCTTTTCACAACAATCAATATACTAATAATGATAATAGCTCCAATGGCTAGAAGCACCAAGAATAGCGCTAAAGCGATATGTTGCGTTTGCATTGTACATGTGGATTATAATTTTAAGCCAGTACAAAAATTTGTTTCTACATTGAGAATTCACACTGTGTAGTTCAGAGGGTCTAAAATTTCATTTAGAAAACAAAAAAACACGAATAAATTACAGAATACAGACAGAATTATTATATTGTTATTTTACCATTGGATTCCGAGTGGAACATAGGGGTTAAGCAGCACATCTCCTAACCTAGCTTAGTTTAACAGCCGATCCTAAGCCCGGAGAAAGAGAGGAGGTTGGGTGTGGAGCTAGCGATCCTAGGGAATCCCCCAGGGAATCAATCCAGTCGCTACAGAAACTTTATAGCACAGACAAACAGAATTATACAATATAAATAAAGGTTGGAAAATCAGGAAGGGGAGCTCCCAATGTTAGATTGCAACGTAAAAAGGAAAGAAGATGGGAAGTTAAACACACTAGTGTGTTTACAGGAAACCCACACATTCAAACTGATGTTTGGACTTCCGATCATCCCATCCTATGTCAGTAAAAATAGGATTGGTGAAATGTTCAAGTGACAGAGCACAAAAACTAAGTAGTACCAAGGAAAATCTAAGACAGGAAGTGATACACATAAAAGAAGCCTTGAAACTTAATAATTACCCGGATACACTAGTCAGGAAATATGTAAGGAAATTTAAAAATAAAATAAATAATTATAGTAACGATAGTGATAATAACAATAATAATGATAACGATAATAATGATAATAATAGTGATAATAATAATATTAATGACGACACCAACAATAAGGAATCTAAATCATCAGTAGTAATTCCATACAAGGAAGGAACCTCGGAAACCACTTTACGCAGAATTCTTAACAAGGCAGGAATAAAAGTGGCTGGCATTCAAATCACCCACAAACTCAATTAGAAACAAGCTTTGTCGCTTAAAGGATCCTGCCAGTGGAGCCAATGAAACAAAACAATTTAGTTTATCTATTACCCTGCGTGCAATAATTGTCAGGTCAAATACATAGGTCAAACTAGTAGAACAAGGGCAGACAGACTAGCCGAACATAAAAACCCAGCAGCAAAATCTAGAGTGGTTGACCCGAATAAAATAAGAAATCTAGAGAATAGTTCAGCTACAGCACTCACTACATGCAATTGCACATAACCAACCATACAATGGGATGGGATGGGATAAGATGACAGTTTTAAAATCTAATGTCACAGGATGGAGGGAGAGATTGATAACAGAAGCTTTGTTTATCGAATCAACTGCGAATACATGTAATAGGAATGATTCTACATCTGTACCAGATATCTGGAAAATTCTACTACCCCAACGACAACAAATAGAAGAGAACAAAGGAAACTATAAAACTCAAGTCTTAAAGTCGTGGGATTACAATTGATGTGATTATGAACAGTGATAAATTTTGTTCGAAACGTCATCGAGTAAATAATACTGTTTCACTGTGTGATATATCTAATAAACAAACTAATATGGAAGTCCAGCCATTATTGCTAACCTCCCCCGCTATGGAATCTATAAATTCCTAAATTATGTAGCAAAGTTAAACTACCATAGCCAAAATCACAGTGACCTTGAGCCAACAATCATAACTCAGATGCAAAAAAAGTCTCATTCATCCAGGTGACTGTAGGTCATGGTACTTTGAGATCCATTGATATTTCTGACACTATTCTTCAACCTACTCCTAACTCTAACCATAATCCTAACCTCTGATCTCAAATCTAACCCTAACCCTAGACCCTAAACCTTAATCTTAAAAGCCATAATCCTACATAACAGAATAGATCTGCAGAAAAAGTACCTAGAGAATAAGTGGAATACTGTATCTATCCTCTCCAAGTCTAAGAAGGCAGGCATGACTTGATTTGGAATGATATTTCATAGCATTCCCTGTGTCTAATCGGTTCTTGAAGGTCAACTTTTGAAGGACCTTGACTTTGGCTATGATAATTTAACTTCGTCAATTCTGTATTATTTTTCTATATTTTTTTTGGTATTCCGTTTAGTGTTATATTCATCCATGTTATTACAAACACGCATGTTTTTAAATATAACATGTTGATCTGAACGATTCCATGTTATTTAGGGAAAAAACATTAGTGTTGTCAATTATGATAATTATTCATGCTTGTTAGCACTTATAACAGAAGTGTTCCAAAGTCAACTTATGAACAGTTGACGTTATGACTGACCCAGCTATCAAAATCTTCATGGAGAAATGCTACCGAACGTTGACCGCTTCACTTACTTGGGAAGTACCATCAGCCTCAACGGGTTGATCTCAGACGAAATTTCAGCATGAATACAGAGGGCTAGGTTCGCATACGCCAGTTTTCGCCGTCTCTGGCGTAGACGCGATATCCGACTATCGACCAAAGGGCGTGTGTACTGCTCAACAGTCCGCTCCGTCCTCCTTTATGGGTGTGAGACCTGGCCATTGAGAGCAGAAGACATGAAAAGATTAGCTGTCTTCGATTATAGGTGTCTGCGTTCCCGTGTGAAGTGGTATAGTAGGGTAAGCAATATTGAGGTTAGGCTTCGATCGAGTGCTAGGTAAGGAGGGGAAATCAATAGACGAGGCTGTGAAGCTACATCGATTGAGATGGTTAGGACATGTGTTACGTATGCATCCCTAGTCATCGCCTTCCTCGACAACAGGCAATGTTAGCTGATATAGGGCAAGGCTGGAAAAGAGCTAGCGGCGGTCAAACGAAAACACGGCACCAGTCAATGAAATCCACAACAGTTAGTTTAAGCCAGCCATGTAGGAAGGCGTAGACTGCCTGACTGGTTGGGGTCCTCGGGATGGTAAAAACCAATGGTTGGAAACAATTGGTGACATGGCTCAAAATCGTTCTCAGTGGCGCAGATGCATCCACTCCTTGTGACTTATGATTTCCAATGAAACTGTTTTGTTCTCCGTTATTACTATTCCTTTGTCTCACACCTCTGTTTATTGTCTATATTATGCATTTCTTCTACTTTCTTCTCTTCCTTTGCGTGGTACATGGATTGTGGCGACTTGAACTGCCACACATATGTGCAAAGTTCTATGTCGAAAACCGACCGACCGGCCGATTCACTGTTTGTGATTTGATACAACCAATTAAAACTATTGTTTTTCCATATTACTATTATTTTTCCCTCACTCACATTTCTGTTTATTATCTGTCTTTTGAAACCCTCTTTACTTCTCTTGATTTGTGTGCTACATGGAGATTGGCGACTTGAACTGCTGCACGTTTTTTCAAACTCTTACACTGATACCTCAGTCATAAACCTAGGTCGTTTTTCAATAAACTCTTGTATTCAACAGATACTGGGATCTACAAATCACACAACTTTGACGAAACATGCGTTATTAAGTGTAACATAATACTAACGAGTGGTATATGCTTGGGTCTTTTGTACTATTCTTTTATTATCCCTATTTTACACACCATTAAGTTACAGTGGGAGTACATAACTTGGGTATTTCTATGAACTGATTTGAAAAATTATTTTTTTCTTATGCTCTCTGATTATATATATACGCTTGATGAGAAGTGCGTCGCTGGCACAGCGTTACAGTGCTCGCCGACCATGCAGGTGGTCCGGGGTTTGATCCCCGGCCACCGACGCACTCCTTAGCCTCCCATGGCCAGTAGTAAGACTAGTAAAGAGGGAAGGTTGGGCATGAGGCTGGCGACGCCATCCTGTAAAAATTATCACCACTGCTACAGAAACTTCAAGCCTCTAGCTTGAAGCTAACCTATGTTGCACTGGGAACGTAAAGGAATAGGAAAATACACTTGAGTTCCAAGTGGAATGTAGAGTTTCAGCAGCATATTTCCGTCTCTCCCTGTTCTCTTTAAGTATGGATCGCAGGAAACCCGGTGGGGATTCCACAAACCCACACATCCTATTGAATACAAGTGCACCTAGAACCAGAGAACTGTTCATCTTAGTACAAATACGTACTACTCGAAAGATTCTGTATACATTTATTTTAATGAGGCTTTTGACGAACTAAAAATATCCAATCGGAAGTTTAACAACTGCTATCAGTATCTGTGCCCCAGCCATTTGAGGATACGGAGACATTAATTTAAAATCAGGTCAACCAATACGACATCATTCATAACTAATATTTACATCGTTGAGCAGCTGAAAGTGCTACTTTAGACTACCTATTTCGACTTCTGGAAAGTAGAAAATTCGATCTAACATCTATTTTGTGGAAGCCAATCAAGACTCTTGAAATTTATTGGTAACCTTATATTTCATAAATACGAAATTTACGTGGCCCACAGTATGCACTACGATCACACAAGTCTAAACACCATTAAATCCTAAAGGTATCAGGAAGGTGGGAGATAGACTGTGGTATTTGAAAAGAGACTATCCGACTCAATGTCCAGTCAGTATACCATCGGTGAGCTCAGCATCTCACGGGATTCTGATTATAGGAAACAAAATCAGTACGTAAACAACCTGCGTTTATGCAGCTTTAAAACTAACAAGAACTTCGAAAAGTAAGAGATTGAGACAATAAAAAAGCCAAAAGTACAATCCAAATATAAAAATTTCGGTGCAGCTTTACGTAATACATCACATCGATGCATTTCCCAAAAGCGTTTATTTTAGGAGAAATGCATCGAAATGTCGACATTCTCCCGGAATGCACCATAATTATTATATTAGGCCACCCATAAATGTTCTGATAGGATGCGCATAGTTTGTAGTGCGAAGGATAGATGATTCCATTTGAATTTACAGTATTTATAAGTTAATTATGTCAAATGTTTGCCTAATTGTGTTACATGTGTCAGTTTCTGCACTAATTTAGGTGCCCAGTAATCAATTTGAAAGAAATTTATGACACAATGGAAACAATCATAAGATTGCTTACTTATTTCTACTTTATCACCACTCAATTTACAATCAACTCTAAATTTATGACCTTGAGATTGATATAAGCGCTTTGAATTCAATATCCAATCCAATATCCAATATCTTTTTACGAGCTAGTATAAACCAATTTGATTTCTTTGCGCTCGCCTCTTGATTGTAAGGTAGAGGTTCCTGATCTTTGGTAAACGTCTGTGTAGCTCGTCCCGCCACTCGACTGTCGTAGCTTTGGTTGACTCCAACAGGAGTAGTGCTGGGATTAATTATATGGCGTCTGTAGTATGAAGTGTGTTAAGACTGTTACTACTGTGAATGGAGTTGATCCGTTCACCAGTTAGTCTTTCGGTATCGTCGTCAATGGAAAAGAGATAATAATAATAATAGATATAATTAGTAAAGGTATTCAGACTAACAGACAGAGAAAAAAAATAAGAAAACGTAACAACAGTCAGTCAACCGGTATACATATATATATATAATATATACCAGTAATAATGATAATAATAATAACAATAATAATAATAAGTGTAGTTAAAGCTGTCAGGAGAGTAAGACTGAAGGGAATGTGAAGAAGTAAAACGACCAGTTTAATTGTCTATCTTTGAATGGTATATGCGATTTTAAGGGGATAGGCCATTTGGATACAGTCCTTGTGTCACTGCAAGGTTGTCCAGCCTTCGCTTAAAGGCGTCCACAGATGGTGCCATAGCTACATCTGCCGGTAAGGAATTCCAGGGACGGCAAACCCGCAGGGAAAAGAAGTGGGAGCGCACCCGGGTCCTTGCCCTCTGATGAGCTATCCTTCTGGGATTTCCACGAGGGAGCCTATACCTACTCAATGGCAGAACACCTTTGTTCGGGTGATTCTGATCATTTGTTATTTTGTAGGCAGTAATTAAATCCCCCCTCAGGCGACGGTAACTGAGTGTGAATAGGCCTAATTTCTTCAGCCTTTCGTCATATGGTTTATTTCGGAGTCCAACCACTCCATTTGTTGCCCGTCGTTGGACTCTTTCCAAGAGGTTGGCGTCTCTTTTAAGCAGTGGGGGTGCAATGATATTATGCACTTCAAGATGCGGTCTGACGTATGTTTTATACAACCTTAGAAAGAGCTCAGGAGTGAGTGCACCTAATTGTCTATGTGTAAAGTGTATGACCGCATATGCCCTCGCTACATCCCCCGTGTAATTCACGCTTGTGTCCATTTTCTCCGTTAGAACTAGACCTAAGTCACGTTCCGACGTTGAGCAGGACAAGCTTTCATTGCACAGGGTATAACTTGCATTCTGCAGTCTACAGATGCGTAACTTCACTACTTTGCACTTTTTCAGGTTGAAAGTCATTCCACTGGTTACCGCCCAGTCTTCCAGAAGCCTTAGATCTGCCTGCAGCCTATCTGAGTCCTCCGGACACTTTACCGCCCTCCATATCTTTACGTCATCAGCGTATAGAAGAGTCGGGCAGTTTAGACGGCATGGTAAATCATTGATAAAAATCAAGGACATCAGTGGTCCCAGGATAGAACCCTGCGACACTCCTGATGACGAGCTGTGCCAAGATGATCGGACTCGATTGACCCTATTGCCAAATTGCCTTTCAGCTGCGTAGTCCTTCAACCATGACAGCAGTGGCTTACCTATACCAGCATGATTTATTTTGTGTAGGAGAAGGTCATGGTGAACTCTGTCAAATGCCTTCTCAAAGTCTAGGAAGACCATATGGACTGGAATATTCATATCCCAGAATGATGTCCAATCGTCCCAAGCTGATAGTAGGTTAGTAACGCAGGATCTGCCTTTCCTGAAACCGTGTTGGGCTTCACTGAATATATTAGTCCTACCGAGATATTCCTTGATATGATCGTCAATAAAACTTTCCAGTACTTTTGATACCACTGGGAGTAGAGCTACTGGTCTATAACTAGTGGCATTTTGCCTATGGTCTGCCTTGTCTCACCCTTATGTTAGAGCTTCTGTCGATGGCTAGTACCTGAGCCATCAATAGTACCTTTTCGGCATCTTCGGTAGAGTCCAGTGTAACCCGTAATGGGGGTGGCTTACCTTGAGGTGCGTGGACACCCCTGTACAGCCTGCACAATTTCACTGAACTAATATTCAGATCTAGTTTATTGCACAGGTTGGACCACTGTTCCTGATCAAACAGGGCCCGCTGTTCAAGCAAGCTTTCCTTGCTCACAGGTACGTTAAAGAGGATGAGCGAATTAGACCGATTAACCTCAGACTTAGGTTTGGCCTTTGGCTTCTCGCATTCCTTTGCAGCATCAACAACTTTAGGCTTCATCGGGTTCTGACCAGCCTTTATTGTGTTGCCAAGCTTGCTTGTGGATGCGAGTGGCGCTTCTCTAATTCTATCTTTCCTTGATGTTTTAGGTCCAACCTTTTGAATCTTCACCTTGTGAAAATTGGCATTTTCAGTCAGTAGGACTGGAGTGTCCTTCTCACTGTCTGTGCCAAGTTTTGGCAATGTGATGTTAGCAGGTGGGGAGCTACATAAGGCCGTGTTGGGACACAAGGGCGGCGTGTTGTTTCTGCTATCCGCAGACACGCTCCGTGTGACTATGCCAGGGCGACAGAGTGGACAGATGTACCAAAACCACGGGCACGGGTTATTTCTCATAAACTCGTAGTATGATTTCGGTACCTCTTTGTCGCAACGGCAGTGCACCCACCGTTTGCAAAAATTGCATTCGAAAGCTGAGTCAGCTTTAGAAACAATAATATTGCACGCCTGGCATTCGTCTCCCTTACTTGGTGACGCCTTCGAGGTCTTATGACGTCTTGAGTGTTTCCTTTTAGGTTTGATGTACTTCACACATTGGCTTTCAGTTGGTGCAGGTGTAGTATCCTGTCCCCTATTATTGCCTGTGCCGTTTCAGTACTAGACTGTGGCAGTGCAGGCATAGTATCAGGACAGACGAGTCCTACACGAGTCTTTAGGATGGGTATGCGACTTGGGGTTGGTGTCCCTGGGTTTTTGCCTTCTCTGGCTGAAGCCCTTGTGACTACAGAGTAAGGTGTTTTGGTGCCATTTCTAAGGTTACTTTCTACAGCCATATTAATAATCACTAAAACTTATGCTGTATAAGAATAAGAGTGCAACAGTATCTACCCACAAGAACAAGAATAAGACTACAAAAAAAGTACAAGACAAGGAAAAGAAAAGGTTTTCGACTTTACCTAGTACTTTCTGGATGATCGGCTTCACAGCAATCACGTGGTAGACCAACAAGTCTTGTTTATCTGAACGAGTGAGGAAGATGCTGCTGCAAAAATAGCACCTGAAGCTTTGGCAGTAGTTCGAGACAGCTGGACTTACCACACAGAGATTCGATATGTAAGTAATGGTTGAATTTAATTCACCGGCTAGGAAGATCAGGTTTCCCAAGCGGATAATTCACAAAATAGGTATTTTCCGGTTAGAGAGGAAAAAGCACGTCGTATTCAAGAAGCGCGCGCTTGACATTTGATGTAAACCTCTTGCATTTCTTTGTGCTCACTCCTTAGTTTAACGGTAGAGGTACCTGGCCTTCGACAAAATTCTGAGTAGTTCTCCCTGCCACTTGACTGCTGTAGCTTCGGTTGATTGCAAAACAAGTGGTGCTGGGATTAATTATACATGGATTGTTGTATGTAGAGACTTTAGAACATGTCGCTATTGTGAACGCAGTTGGTCCAGTGTATTCGTAGAGAGATGACAATGGCAATGACAATAATAGATATAATTAGTATAGATTATGTGGACTTAAAATAAGAAAAAAAGAATACGTAAAAACAGACACTTAATAAGATTTGAAATTGATGTGTACATGTGGATAATAATCATACAAGTGAATTAATAGTTGGAGTGATCAGAAGAGTAAGACAAGGGAGAATAGGAATAATTAGGAAGATGAGTCTTGCTGTTTATCCACAAATAGTTCATGAGTTTTAAAAGGATAGACCGTTTGAACTCAGTCCTTGTGTCTCTGCATGATTGCTCAGTTTCCACTTAAAGCTCTGCGTGAACGGTGCAGTAGCCGTATCTGCCGATAGAAGAAGTCGGGGGCAGCAAATATAAAGTGAAAAGAAATAGAAGTGCACTCGAGTCTCTGCTCTCTGCTGAGTTGTCCCTCGTGGATTGCCCATAAGTACTTGTTGGCAGAATACGTTCGTTTAGGTGATTCTAGTCACCCTTCAGCCGACGATAGCTCAGTGTGGAAAGACCTAATTTCTACAGGCGATCACCACATGGTTTATTTTGGAGAACCACCACTGTTTTTGTCGCCCCTCTTTGAACTCTCTCCAGAAAGTAAGTGTCTCTTCTAAGCAGCTTAGGAGAAATGATATTGTGTACTTCAAGGTGCAGTCTTACGTATATTTTGTACAATATCAGAAAGACCTCAGGAGTGAGCCCACCTAACTGCCTCTGCGTAAAGTGTATAAACGCATATGCTCTCTCTACATCGTCCATGTATTCCAGTCTTGTGCCCATTTTTTCCATAATAAATGGACCTAATTCGGGTCCCAATGTTGTCCAGGTAAGGTTTACTTTATGCCGAGTGGAGTCAGTATACTTTGCATTTTACAAATCTTTGGTGAAAGCAGGTCTGAGGATCAAATTAGTCGCTTGGATTTTTAGAACTATAGACTACCCAGACTGTTGTAAATGCATCAACAAGTGCTGGGATTACATGCTGTGGTATAAAATCCGAATATTCCACAATTATATGTGATAAAATAATTCCTATACGTATTTACTATTAGAGTATAGTTTCTAAACTTTAAGTTTGTGTGCACACAAGTGGCAGAAGTAATCGAAATATCATAAAATAAAATACTGGATGCTGATATGCGGTCATACTTTCGTTACTGGTGTGATATTGGAAATTAGTCCATTAGGTTGACATCCTCTTAATATAAGGGATTTGAGTGTTCCTTTATCAACTTAGTCCGCACTTACACAGCATACTTAGCATTAGTATCACGGATTATACTGCCAAGTAGAGATCCGTTCAGGAACTGTTGTCCTATTAGCGTTACTGTTTAAAAGTCCTACTTGTAAAACT